CCACAGAATTTTACTCAGGGACAGACAGAATTGTTACTGAGTGCAGAGAATTGTTACTCAGGGACAGACAGAATTGTTACTGAGTGCCAGAGAATTGTTACTCAGGGACAGACAGAATTGTTACTGAGTGCCAGAGAAATGTTACTTAGGGCCACAGAAACTTTACTAGGGCCACAGAATTTTACTCAGGGACAGACAGAATTGTTACTGAGTGCCAGAAATTGTTACTCAGGGACAGACAGAATTGTTACTGAGTGCCAGAGAATTGTTACTCAGGGACAGACAGAATTGTTACTGAGTGCCAGAGAATTGTTACTTAGGGCCACAGAAACTTTTACTTAGGGCCACAGAATTTTTACTCAGGGACAGACAGAATTGTTACTGAGTGCCAGAGAATTGTTACTCAGGGACAGACAGAATTGTTACGGAGTGCCAGAGAATTGTTACTCAGGGCCACAGAAACTTTACTTAGGGCCAGAATTTTTACTCAGGGACAGACAGAATTGTTACTGAGTGCCAGAGAATTGTTACTCAGGGACAGACAGAATTGTTACTTAGTGCCAGCCAGAGAATTGTTACTCAGGGACAGACAGAATTGTTACTGAGTGCCAGAGAATTGTTACTTAGGGCCACAGAAACTTTAATTAGGGCCACAGAATTTTTACTCAGGGACAGACAGAATTGTTACTGAGTGCCAGAGAATTGTTACTCAGGGACAGACAGAATTGTTACTGAGTGCCAGAGAATTGTTACTCAGGGACAGACAGAATTGTTTACTGAGGGCCAGAGAATTGTTACTTAGGCCACAGAAACTTTACTTAGGGCCACAGAATTTTTACTCAGGGACAGACAGAATTGTTACTGAGTGCCAGAGAATTGTTACTCAGGGACAGACAGAATTGTTACGGAGTGCCAGAGAATTGTTACTCAGGGCCACAGAAACTTTACTTAGGGCCAGAGAATTTTTACTCAGGGACAGACAGAATTGTTACTGAGTGCCAGAGAATTGTTACTCAGGGACAGACAGAATTGTTACGAGTGCCAGATAATTGTTACTACCAGGGCCCCAGAAACTTTACTTAGGGCCACAGAATTTTTACTCAGGGACAGACAGAATTGTTACTGAGTGCCAGAGAATTGTTACTCAGGGACAGACAGAATTGTTACTGAGTGCCAGAGAATTGTTACTTAGGGCCACAGAAACTTTACTTAGGGCCACAGAATTGTTTCTCGCACAGACACAGAATTGTTACTCGCACAGACACAGAATTGTTACTGAGGGCCACAGAACTGTTACTTGGGGCCACAGAAACGTTAATCAGGGACACAGAATTGTTACTGAGGGCCACAGAACTGTTACTTAGGGCCACAGAATTGTTACTCGCACAGACACAGAATTGTTACTCAGGGACACAGAATTGTTACTCAGGGACACATAATCGTTTAATTAAAGAGTATGTCAGACAACATGCAGAGGAGTGGCAGAGGAGGCAATGTTTTAGGAGCGAGCAGACGTGGCAGCAGAGGAAGGAAGGGGTCGAGGCAGCACTATTCGCACCAGAGGCCAGTGCTCCCGGTGTCATCCAGCGGTCGTGTCTCCACCGACAACCCTGCCGTCGTCGATTGGTTGGCTCGGTCGTCTTCCTCTTCCCAGGTCACCTCTGACACCTACAGCCAACGGTCGGTGGGTACGTCAGACACAACCGTTAGTTGGCATGGCCCGGGACCAAGCCCACTGAAATCACGTGTCCTCTACCTGCCCCTGTCCTTTGGTGTTCCCTCACCAAGCGAAGTATCGCATGCTGTGGGCTCAGCCCCACTGTACAGTGAGGAAGAGCTAACAGAGGGCGGTCAGGAACGGGGGGAGACATCCGCCTTTTCAGCAGCCAGGCGAAGAAGTAGTGGCGAGGAGAGTGGCTCGGTAGCCGGTCTAGAGACAGGTCTGTCTCCTGACCCAGACGCAGCCGAGGGGGCTAGTAGTGAGGCGGAGACCCTACTTGATGATGAGGAGGTTGATCGCACTTGGCAGCCTCGTCGTCATCAGGCAATTTCTTCCGCATCATCAGGAGAAGAGGGTGGCAGCTTGGCAGCGAGCAAAACAGTCGGTGGGTTGCCCAGGAGACAGCAGCAGGGTCGCAGCAGTGTCAGCAGTGTCAGTGGAGCCAAACGTCCACGGAGTAGAGCACCAGCTCCACTGCAGCCTACCACCACGGCCAGTAGTGGTGCCGGTGTGCACGGAGGAAGCAGCAGTCAGCCAGTGAGGAGTATCGGGGGCAAAGTTTCCTACTCGGCGGTGTGGCAATTTTTCGTCAAGCCGCCCGAGGAAGTAAACGTAGCCGTATGTCGACTATGTGGCCCAGAAAGTCAAGCGTGGCCAGGGGGCCCATGTTGGGACTACAGCGTTGCGGCAGCATATGCAGCGTCGCCATTTGGTGGCCTGGGAAAACCGTGATAAAGATACGGCGGTTCTGCCCGCCCCAGCCCCCGCTCCATCACCCGCTCCGTTACTTGCTCCGTCACCCGACGTCAATCGCCCTCCATCAGCCAGTAGGCTCCAACACCTCTGCTGAGGGGAGTTGTCGCTCGTTGGCATCTTCCGCTCGTTCAGATGCTCCTTCTCCTGCTACTCCTCTTCACGGATTCCGTCAGCAGTCTTTCTTGGAATCCGTTTCCAAGAGACAACAGTTTGCGAGCACGCACCCGACGGTGCAAAAGCTGAACGTCCTCCTGTCCAAGTTGCTGGTGCTGCAGTCCCTCCCTTTCCAAGTGGTGGACTCAGCACCTTTCAGAGAAATGATGGCTTGTGCCGCGCCGCGGTGGAGAGTGCCAAGCCGTCATTTCTTCGCCAAAAAGGCAGTGCCAGCCCTGCATTCACATGTAGAAGACATGGTGGGCCAGTCTTTGAGCATGTCGGTCTCTGCCAAAGTGCACGGCAGCGCCGACGTGTGGAGCTGTAACTACGGTCAGGGACAGTACATGTCATTTACGGCCCACTGGGTGAACGTGGTGCCGTCACAGCCGCACCAGCAACTTGGACAGGTCACGCCGCTTTTGCCCTCACGTTTGCACGTCCTTGGTCCGGCAAAGATGTCCGCCTCTACCACCTCTTCTTCCGCCGTGTCCTCAGCCGCCGCCACCCCCGTGCCAAGTCCCATTACCCCACCGGCATATCACATGTGCAGGGCGCAACGGTGTCACGCTGTTCTGCACCTGGTATGCCTTGGCGAACGTAGTCACACAGGGGAGGAACTTCTGAGTGTAATGAACAGAGAAATCGACAGATGGCTGTCTCCCGCGCAAACTGAAAATCGGAACCATGTTGACCGACAACGGAAAGAACATGGTGTCTGCTGCTCTGCGTCAAGGAAGGTTGTGCCATGCGCCATGCATGGCTCACGTGTTCAATCTGGTTGTCAAGCGGTTCTTAAAATCCACCATCCCACTGCAAGACATCCTTAAAATGTCACGTAAACTTTGCATGCATTTCAGCCATTCCTACACCGCAAAGCACACCCTCCTTGAGCTGCAGCGGCAGAAACGGAATTCCACAGCATCGCCTGATCTGCGACGTTGCAACAAGGTGGAATTCAACCCTACACATGTTAGACCGCCTTTACGAACAGCGAAAGGCCATCACCGATTTCCTGATGTTACAAGCGGATAAAGGTACTCCCCTGTGTAACTTCGATGTCAGCCATTGGCAGCTCATGCGTGACACCTGCCGCTTGCTCAGGCCCTTTGAGGAGGGCCACGCTATTCGTGAGTCGGCAGGACTATATGGGATGAACGACGTCATTCCTCTGTTGCACGTCCTTGAACAAATGCTGTTAACAATGGCTGGTCAGGGTGCGGTAGACGTGGCGCACAGATCTCAACGCCACATGACCCCTGTGGGGGCAGGACAGGAAGAAGAGGAGGAGGTAGAGGAGGACATTTTGTGCTCAGGAATTATTGAGTGAAATGGGTGGTTTTTCCACTCAGCGGACAGGAGTGGAGGAGCAGGAGCATCTGGTAGAGGGAAGGAGGAGGAGGAGACAGAGGACCCAGACGCACCGTGGCAGTATGCTGTGGAGATGGAGGCAGGGAGTCCCTCGCATTCCTTGGCACAAATGGCCCATAGCATGCTCGGTTGCTTGCGTAGCGACAGCCGAATAATAACCATCAGACAGAGGGATGACTTTTGGCTGTCCACCTTGTTGGACCCTCGCTACCGTTCCAAAATGGTGGCCTTTTTCACACCTGCTGAGAGGGAGGCCAAAATAACGTACTATAAAAACCACCTATGTAGTCAGTTGGTCTCTGCCTTTGTGCTGCGCCAACGTCCATCCTCAGACACTGTGGGCCCTGTGCGCTCGCGTTCCGCTGCCATGGCAGCAGGGGAGGGGTGGGGTGGTAGGAGCAGTGGCAGCTCCACCAGCAGCAGCTGCCTCAGTCTGCAGTCGATCGATGATGAGTAGCTTTCTTCACCAGCGCAGTGAGGAAACTACTAACCAGCCGCAGCAGCAGCAGCAGCAGCATCAGGTGGACCTGGGCAGCAGGACCTCAAACAACAGGCTTGGGCCTACTTGGACAGCACCCTGCCAACCGAGGTAGACAATCCCCTTGACTACTGGGCAACGAAACTTGACCTTTGGCCCCAACTAGCTGAATTTGCCCTTGAAAGGTCATGCCCATGCCCAGTAGCGTGGCATCGGAGCGCGTGTTTAGTGCGGCAGGAGGTATTGTAACTCCGCGGAGGACACGACTGTCCACCCAAAGTGTGTGGAGAGACTCACGTTTGTGAAAATGAATCAGGCGTGGATTAGTCTGGATTTCAAACCACCAGTTCCTGACACAACTGACTAAATCCGCCATGAATCATGCCTCAAACATGTGCCACTTTGAGGTCTCCTCACACACTGCTGGTGTGTAGAATTTTTTGACATAGGGTGCTGGCAGATTATGGGCCTCCTATAGCTGCTGCCAGGCCCCTAATCTGCCATAGGCCCCTATATACCGCCTCATGCTGCTGCCAGGTCCAGAGTCTCTCATGGGTCCCTGTACGGCCTCCCATTGCTGCTGTCTCCATCGCCACACTCTGCCATGTGCCACTTTCAGGTCTCCTCACACACTGCTGGTGTGTAGAATTTTTTGACATAGGGTGCTGGCAGATTATGGGCCTCCCATAGCTGCTGCCAGGCCCCTAATCTGCCATGGGCCCCTATATACCGCCTCCTCATGCTGCTGCCAGGTCCAGAGTCTGTCATGGGTCCCTGTACGGCCTCCCATTGCTGCATCTCCATCGCCACACTCTGCCATGTGCCACTTTCAGGTCTCCTCACACTGCTGGTGTGTAGAATTTTTTGACATAGGGTGCTGGCAGATTATGGGCCTCCCTATAGCTGCTGCCAGGCCCCTAATCTGCCATAGGCCCCTATATACCGCTCCATGCTGCTGCCCAGTCCAGAGTCCATGGGTCTCTCCCATTGCCATGTGCCACTTTCCAGGTCTCTCCTCACACTGCTGGTGTGTAGAATTTTTTGACATAGGGTGCTGGCAGATTAAGGGCCTCCCATAGCTGCTGCCAGGCCCCTAATCTGCCATGGCCCCCTATATACCGCCTCCTCATGCTGCTGCCAGGTCCAGAGTCTGTCATGGGTCCCTGTACGGCCTCCCATTGCTGCTGTCTCCATCGCCACACTCTGCCATGTGCCACTTTCAGGTCTCCTCACACACTGCTGGTGTGTAGAATTTTTTGACATAGGGTGCTGGCAGATTATGGGCCTCCCATAGCTGCTGCCCAGGCCCCTAATCTGCCATAGGCCCCTATATACCGCCTCCTCATGCTGCTGCCAGGTCCAGAGTCTGTCATGGGTCCCTGTACGGCCTCCCATTGCTGCTGTCTCCATCGCCACACTCTGCCATGTGCCACTTTCAGGTCTCCTCACACACTGCTGGTGTGTAGAATTTTTTGACATAGGGTGCTGGCAGATTACCCTCCCATAGCTGCTGCCAGGCCCCTAATCTGCCATAGGCCCCTATATACCGCCTCCTCATGCTGCTGCCAGGTCCAGAGTCTCTCATGGGTCCCTGTACGGCCTCCCATTGCTGCTGTCTCCATCGCCACACTCTGCCATGTGCCACTTTCAGGTCTCCTCTTTGTGTAGAATTTTTTGACAGGGTCTCCTCCACACACTGCTGGTGTGTAGTAATTTTTTGGACATAGGGTGCTGGCAGATTAAGGGCCTCCCATAGCTGCTGCCAGGCCCCTAATCTGCCATAGGCCCCTATATACCGCCTCCTCATGCTGCTGCCAGGTCCAGAGTCTGTCATGGGTCCCTGTACGGCCTCCCATTGCTGCTGTCTCCATCGCCACACTCTGCCATGTGCCACTTTCAGGTCTCCTCACACACTGCTGGTGTGTAGAATTTTTTGACATAGGGTGCTGGCAGATTACGGGCCCCCATAGCTGCTGCCAGGCCCCTAATCTGCCATAGGCCCCTATATACCGCCTCCTCATGCTGCTGCCAGGTCCAGAGTCTCTCATGGGTCCCTGTACGGCCTCCCATTGCTGCTGTCTCCATCGCCACACTCTGCCATGTGCCACTTTCAGGTCTCCTCACACTGCTGGTGTGTAGAATTTTTTGACATAGGGTGCTGGCAGATTAAGGGCCTCCCATAGCTGCTGCCAGGCCCCTAATCTGCCATAGGCCCCTATATACCGCCTCCTCATGCTGCTGCCAGGTCCAGAGTCTGTCATGGGTCCCTGTAGCCTCCCATTGCTGCTGTCTCCATCGCCACACTCTGCCATGTGCCACTTTCAGGTCTCCTCACACTGCTGGTGTGTTGAATTTTTTGACATAGGGTGCTGGCAGATTATGGGCCTCCCATAGCTGCTGCCAGGCCCCTAATCTGCCATAGGCCCCTATATACCGCTTCCTCATGCTGCTGCTGCCAGGTCCCTGTAGAGTCTCTGCATGCCATGTGCCACTTTCAGGTCTCCTCACACTGCTGGTGTGTAGAATTTTTTTGACATAGGGTGCTGGCAGATTATGGGCCTCCTATAGCTGCTGCCAGGCCCCTAATCTGCCATAGGCCCCTATATACCGCCTCCTCATGCTGCTGCCAGGTCCAGAGTCTGTCATGGGTCCCTGTACGGCCTCCCATTGCTGCTGTCTCCATCGCCACACTCTGCCATGTGCCACTTTCAGGTCTCCTCACACACTGCTGGTGTGTATAATTTTTTGACATAGGGTGCTGGCAGATTACGGGCCTCCCATAGCTGCTGCCAGGCCCCTAATCTGCCATGGGCCCCTATACCGACTCCTCATGCTGTGACGTTGCAACAAGGTGGAATTCAACCCTACATATGTTAGACCGCCTTTACGAACAGCAAAAGGCCATCACAGATTTCCTGATGTTAAAAGCGGATAAAGGTATTCCCTGTGTAACTTAGATGTCAGCCATTGGCAGCTCATGCGTGACACCTGCGCTTGCTCAGGCCCTTTGAGGAGGCCACGCTATTCGTGAGTCGGCAGGACTATGGGATGAACGACGTCATTCCTCTGTTGCACGTCCTGGAACAAATGCTGTTAACAATGGCTGGTCAGGGTGCGGTAGACGTGGCGCACAGATCTCAACGCCACATGACCCCTGTGGGGGCAGGACAGGAAGAAGAGGAGGAGGTAGAGGAGGACATTGGTGCTCAGGAATTATTGAGTGAAATGGGTGGTTTTTCCACTCAGCGGACAGGAGTGGAGGAGCAGGAGCATCTGGTAGAGGAGGAGGAGGAGGAGGAGACAGAGGACCCAGACGCACCGTGGCAGTATGCTGTGGAGATGGAGGCAGGGAGTCCCTCGCATTCCTTGGCACAAATGGCCCATAGCATGCTCGGTTGCTTGCGTAGCGACAGCCGAATAATAACCATCAGACAGAGGGATGACTTTTGGCTGTCCACCTTGTTGGACCCTCGCTACCGTTCAAAAATGGTGGCCTTTTTCACACCTGCTGAGAGGGAGGCCAAAATAACGTACTATAAAAAACACCTATGTAGTCAGCTGGTCTCTGCCTGTCTGCGCCAACGTCCATCCTCAGACACTGTGGGCCCTGTGCGCTCGCGTTCCGCTGCCATGGCAGCAGGGGAGGGGTGGGGTGGTAGGAGCAGTGGCAGCTCCACCAGCAGCGGCTGCCTCAGTCTGCAGTCGATGATGAGTAGCTTTCTTCACCAGCGCAGTGAGGAAACTACTAACCAGCCGCAGCAGCAGCAGCAGCAGCAGCAGCATCAGGTGGACCTGGAGCAGGACCTCAAACAACAGGCTTAGGCCTACTTGGACAGCACCCTGCCAACCGAGGTAGACAATCCCCTTGACTACTGGGCAACGAAACTTGACCTTTGGCCCCAACTAGCTGAATTTGCCCTTGAAAGGCTGTCATGCCCGGCCAGTAGCGTGGCATCGGAGCGCGTGTTTTAGTGCGGCAGGAGGTATTGCAACTCCGCGGAGGACACGACTGTCCACCCAAAGTGTGGAGAGACTGACGTTTGTGAAAATGAATCAGGCGTGGATTAGTCTGGATTTCAAACCACCAGTTCCTGACACAACTGACTAAATCCGCCATGAATCATGCCCCAAACATGTGCCACTTTCAGGTCTCCTCACACTGCTGGTGTTCCATTTTTTGTCATAGGGTGCTGGCAGATTACGGGCCTCCCATAGCTGCTGCCAGGCCCCTAATCTGCCATGGGCCCCTATACCGCCTCCTCATGCTGCTGCCAAGTCCAGAGTCTCTCATGGGTCCCTGTACGGCCTCCCATTGCTGCTGTCTCCATCGCCACACTCTGCCATGTGCCACTTTCAGGTCTCCTCACACTGCTGGTGTATTCCATTTTTTGTCATAGGGTGCTGGCAGATTACGGGCCTCCCATAGCTGCTGCCAGGCCCCTAATCTGCCATGGGCCCCTATACCGCCTCCTCATGCTGCTGCCAGGTCCAGAGTGTGTCATGGGTCCCTGTACGGCCTCCCATTGCTGCTGTCTCCATCGCCACACTCTGCCATGTGCCACTTTCAGGTCTCCTCACACTGCTGGTGGGTTCCATTTTTTGTCATAGGGTGCTGGCAGATTACGGGCCTCCCATAGCTGCTGCCAGGCCCCTAATCTGCCATGGGCCCCCGTACCGACTCCTCATGCTGCTGCCAGGCCCGTAATCTGTCATGGGCCCCTGTTGTCGCTTGTTGGCATATTCCGCTCGTTCAGATGCTCCTTCTCCTGCTACTCCTCTTCACGGATTCCGTCAGCAGTCTTTCTTGGAATCCGTTTTCCAAGAGACAACAGTTTGCGAGCACGCACCAGACGGTGCAGAAACTGAACGTCCTCCTGTCCAAGTTGCTGCTGCCAGGCTCGTAATCTGTCATGCGCCCCTGTACCGCCTCCTCATGCTGCTGCCAGGTCCAGAGTGTGTCATGGGCCCCCGTACCGACTCCAAATGCTGCTGCCAGGCCCGTAATCTGTCATGGGCCCCTGTACCGCCTCCCCATGCTGCTGCCAGGTCCAGATTGTGTCATGGGTCCCTGTACGGCCTCCCATTGCTGCTGCCAGGCCTGTAATCTGCCATGGGCCCCCACCCTCCCATGCCTGCCAATCTGCTCCTACCGACTCCTCATGCTGCTGCCAGGCCCGTAATCTGCCATGGGCCCCTGTACCGCCTCCTCATGCTGCTGCCAGGTCCAGAGTGTGTCATGGGTCCCTGTACGGCCTCCCATTGCTGCTGTCTCTATCGCCACACTCTGCCATGTGCCACTTTCAGGTCTCCTCACACTGCTGGTGGTTTCCATTTTTGTCATAGGGTGCTGTATGGCCTCCCATTGCTGCTGCCTCCACCGCCACACTGTGGCTCCACACTCTGGTTTTGGCCCCGTGACTGGCCAAATGAGTGAAGTGTGCGGTGATTCTAAGATCGACGGCACTCATCTGCATGTCATACTGCCTGACAGTATTATTTCTCTTCCCCAGCAGACTCCAAGGGCATTTAAATTAAAGGTACAGTGTTCAGCACTAATATTAAGTCTCTCTGAAGCCTAGAAACACCCTTTTTTAAGTTAAATTCACAGCGAATATATTCGACTCGAATCGAAATTTTTCTACGAATTCGCCGAATCATCGAATCGAATTTTTGAATACTTCGAGCTGTCTGTATGGGTGGAATTCTGACCCTCATTGTAAGAGGAGCATTCTTCCCAGTGGACACCAATTTAAGAGGTATTTTTTCCAGTGATCCACATATATGTTTTAGCAGGGGTTCCCTAGGGCCTGAATTTATTATAGGGGTTCCTCTGGGATAAAAAAGATTAGATAAACCTACATATGCACAGTCCAATTTAGGGCATGTTCACAAAATGCTAAATATGAATGCAGGGTGAAGGCCAAATCCATACCTGCCTTTTCAGTGAGTTAAATCTTTAGCAACTCTATCAATAATATTGTAAATAATTACAGTTTACAAGAGTTTAAGTACATTTCCAATTTTGCAGCCAAATTGGGATAACACCAATTTTATATTTGTTACATGTTCCCACTCACATAGTGTAATTTTAAAAATATATATTAAAAATTGTAGCTTACCCTTTTTTAAGACGGTCTTTTCTGCAAACTTAAGCAAAGGAAAAACACTTCATATTTGTTATTGTTTTAGGGGGCTGGAGAGCTGTGTGTGCCATAAATAATCCTATATGTAAGAAGGTAAAAACCAGGAAAATAAACATAGAAAATAGATATATAAAAAATATTTGCAAATGTATTAGTCACATCATACAAACGTTTAAAAGTATCAAACATGATGCTCAATACAGTGTTTTTTTTTTTTTTTGACCAATTACAAAGATCACCTATATATTTGCACTATACTGAGTGCCCATGGAATGAGACGCTTCAGTGGTTGAGCTCCTAGCAAGCAACCAAATATCTCTAAATTATGCCTATGGCAGCCCAACATAAGTAGCAGTTAATAGTAAGCTTAGATTGTAAGCTCTTAAGGACAAGGCCCTCTGAACCCTCTTGTATTGTATTGTATTGTAACTGTGCTGTCCCTGTACTGTTGGTGCTACATAAATCCTGTATGATAATAATGACAGCCATTGTACACCATTATTCCTTCACAAAATATACGGAAGGTTTGAACACTTTATGTGAATATATCATACAGTGAGATTCCCTATGTTCACAATACGGTATAAGCAGATATATGTACTTATTGATGTCTTTTGATGCAGCCCTTGGCCTTACACCATGTTCCAGAGAGGATTTGACCTGGTCCTGGGGGAACAACCAGCCGACAAAATATTCAGGTAAAACTTTAGCTTATCAGCATTGTGTTACCAGTTTACAATTCACAGTACGTATCAGGCTCAGCCAACAGGGGCAATGTGTGGCGACAACTGACATTTAGTACAGGCTGTAATGTAGGCTCAGACTTTGACCTTCACTGTGCCCAGCTCCTTCTATACACACACTGCTAGTGACAGAGATGACAGGAGTCTAGAATTTCGATTATGGCCTCCAGGTCTGAAGATTTCCCCAGTAACTGTAACCAGTCTGTTTGCTTCTGTTTTTTTTGAAGAATAGTTACTACAGAATGTTTTGCATTTTTAACCATC